CGGCGAGCGGGGCCGCGACGGGTGCGAGCGGGCCCTCCAAGGCGGCGGACGCTCCCTTGCGCAGGCGCCAGAGGAGCGCTCCCCCTCCTCGCCCTCCTCCTCTTCCTCCTCCTCGTCGTCGTCCTTGTCGGCATCCACCTCCTCCTCCTCCTCCTCCTCCTCGTCCTCCTCGTCCTCATCCCTCTCCTCCTCCTACACATCGCCCTCGTCCTCCTCCTCCTCCTCCTCCTCCTCTTTCTCCTCATCCTCCTCCCTCCTCCTCATCCCTCCTCCTCATCCCTCCTCTTCTCGTCCTCCTCTCCTCCTGCTCCTCCTCCTCTTCCTCCTCCTCCTCCTCCGCCTCCTCTTCCTCCTCCTACTTCTCATCGCTCCCTCCCTCTCACCCTTCCGTCCTCCTCGTCCTCCTCCTCCTCCGCCTCATCCTCCTCCTACTCCTCCTCCTTCCTCAACCTTCTGATCATCCTCCTCCTCCTCCTCCTCCCCCCCACCACCACCACCACCATCACAACCACCATCATCATCATCACCATCATCATCATCATCATCATCATCATCATCATCATCATCATCATCATCATCATCATCATCATCATCATCATCATCATAATCATCATCATCATCATCATCATCATCATACTCATCATCATCAGCATCATCATCATCAGCAACATCATCATCATCATTATCATCAGCATCATCATCATCAGCATCGTCATCATAATCATCATCCTCATTCTCATCATCAGCATCATCATCAACAGCACCACCATCATCAACATCATCAGCATCATCACCATCACCAGCATCAACATCGTCATCATCAGCATCATCGTCATCATCAGCACCAGTATCAGTATCATCCACCTCAGATCATCATCAGCATCAGCAGCATCATCAGCAGCATCAGCATCGTCACCATCATCATTAGTACTACCATCAACATCATCACCATCATCGTCATCATCGACATCATCAACATCGTCAACATCATCATAATGATCATCACAACCGCAACCACCATCATCATCATCAGCTCCCGCATCGTCATCATCAGCATCATCATTATCATGCTCATCATCATCACCATCATCACCAGCCTCAGCATGACCATCATCATCGCCATCATCATCAACACCATCATCGTCATCATCATCACCATCACCATCACCATCGCCATCACCACCACCATTACCATCACCACCACCGCACTCATCATCATCGTCATCATTATGATCGTAAGCAGCATCACCATCAGTATCATCATCATCAGCATCATCAACATCAGCAGCAGCAGTCGCAGCATCAGCATATCAGAATCATCATGACCAGCATCATCATCATCATCATCAGCATCATCATCATCATCAGCATCATCATCATCATCATCATCGGCATCGGCATCATCATCATCACCATCGTCAGCATCGTCATCATCAGTAGCATGCTCGCCATCATCATAAGCATCATCCTCATCACGAACAGCAGCAAAGGCACTAACAGCATCATCGTCATCGGCATCAGCATCATCATCGGCAGCATCATTCTCATCAGTATCATCATCAGCAGTACCATCACCATCATCATAACCATCAGCATCATCATCATCAAATCATCATGAAAACCAATCTGCATCCTCGCCACCACCATCACCATCACACGTAGATTTTGAAGGTATTCGAAAAGCTTGCTACCGAATTAACAGCGGAAGACGGCGCCGACGACGACGACGACGACCACAACGACGACAACGGCGTTGGCGACGGCGACGGCGACGGCGACGGCGATGGCGACAGCGCGGGCGACGGCCGCCGCCGCCGTCGTCGCCGTCGTGGTCGTCGTGGTCGTCGTCGTCGTCGTCGTCGTCTCGCGGGCCCCGCGCGGGGCCTGCTGCGCGGTCTGCGCGCCCTCCGCGGCGGCGAGCGGGGCCGCGACGGGTGCGAGCGGGCCCTCCACGGCCTGGAACGCTCCGTTGCGCAGGCGCCGGCGGGGTGCTCCCCCTCCTCGTCCTCCTCCTCCTCTTCCTCCTCCTCGTCGTCGTCCTTGTCGTTATCCTCCTCCTCCTCCTCCTCCTCTTCCTCCTCCTCGTCCTCCTCGTCCTCATCCCTCTCCTCCTCCTGCAACTCGTCCTCGTCCTCCTCCTCCTCCTCCTCCTCGTTCTCCTCCTCCTCCTCCCTCCTCCTCATCCCTCCTCTTCTCGTCCTCCTCTCCTCCTGCTCCTCCTCCTCCTCTTCCTCCTCCTCCTCCTCCTCTTACTCCTCCTACTTCTCATCGCTCCCTCCCTCCCACCCTCCCGTCCTCCTCGTCCTCCTCCTCCTCATCCTCCTCCTACTTCTCCTCTTTCCTCATCTTCTCATCCTCCTCCTCCTCCTCCTCCCCACCACCACCACCACCACCACCATCACAACCACCATCATCATCATCATCATCATCATCATCATCATCATCATCATCATCATCATCATCATCATCATCATCATCATCATCATCATCATCATCATCATCATCGTCATCATCAGCAGCATCATCATTATCAGCATCATCATTATCAGCATCATCATCACCATCAGTATCGTCATCATCATCATCCTCATCATCATCATCATCAGCAGTTCCATCATCAACAGCACCACCATCATCAACATCATCAGCATCATCACCATCACCAGCACCATCATCGTCATCATCAGCACCCGTATCAGTATCATCCACCTCTGATCATCATCAGCAGCATCATCAGCAGCATCATCATCAGCATCATCATCGTCACCATCATCATTAGTACTACCATCACCATCATCACCATCATCGTCATCATCAACATCATCACCATCGTCAACATCATCATGATGATCATCACAACCGAAACCACCATCATCATCATCAGCTCCCGCATCGTCATCATCAGCATCATCATTATCATGATCATCATCATCACCATCATCAGCATGACCATCATCATCGCCATCATCATCAACGCCATCATCGTCATCATCATCACCATCACCATCACCATCGCCATCACCACCACCATTACCATCACCACCACCGCAACCATCATCATCATCAGCATCATCATCATCGTAAGCATCATCATCATTATTATCACCATCATCATCAACATGAGCAGCAGCAGTCGCAGCATCAGCATATCAGAACCATCATCACCAGCATCATCATCATCGGCATCGGCATCGGCATCATCATCATCACCATCGTCAGCATCGTCATCATCAGTATCATGCTCGCCATCATCATAAGCATCATCCTCATCACGAACAGCAGCAAAGGCACTAACAGCATCATCGTCATCATCATCAGCATCATCATCGGCAGCATCATTCTCATCAGCATCATCATCAGCAGTACCATCACCATCATCATAACCATCAGCATCATCATCAAATCATCATGAAAACCAATCTTCATCCTCGCCACCACCATCACCATCACGCGTAGATTTGTTGAAGGTATTCGACACGCTTGCTACCGAATTAACAGCGGAAGACGGCGCCGACGACGACGACGACGACCACAACGACGACAACGGCGTTGGCGACGGCGACGGCGACGGCGACGGCCCGCCGCCGTCGTCGCCGTCGTGGTCGTCGTGGTCGTCGTGGTCGTCGTCGTCGTCGTCGTCGTCGTCGTCGTCGTCGTCGTCTCGCGGGCCCCGCGCGGGGCCTGCTGCGCGGTCTGTGCGCCCTCCGCGGCGGCGAGCGGGGCCGCGACGGGTGCGAGCGGGCCCTCCACGGCGGCGAACGCTCCCTTGCGCAGGCGCCGGCGGGGCGCTCCCCCTCCTCGTCCTCCTCCTCCTCTTCCTGCTCCTCCTCGTCGTCGTCCTTGTCGTCATCCACCTCCTCCTCCTCCTCCTCCTCGTCCTCCTGGTCCTCATCCCTCTCCTCCTCCTGCAACTCATCCTCGTCCTCCTTCTCCTCCTAATCCTCTTTCTCCTCCTCCTCCTCCCTCCTCCTCATCCCTCCTCTTCTCGTCCTCCTCTCCTCCTGCTCCTCCTCCCTCCTCCTCCTCCTCCTCCTCCTCCTCCTCCTCCTCCTCCTCCTCCTCCTTTACTCCTCCTACTTCTCATCGCTCCCTCCCTCCCACCCCTTCCGTCCCCTCGTCTCCTCCTCCTCATCCTCCTCCTACTCCTCCTCCTTCCTCATCCTTCTGATCATCCTCCTCCTCCCCACCACCACCACCACCATGACAACCCTCATCATCATCATCATCATCATCATCATCATCATCATCATCATCATCATCATCATCATCATCATCGTCATCATCATCAGCATCATCATCATCGTCATCATCAGCAGCATCATCATCATTATCATTATCCGCATCATCATCATCAGCACCATCATCATCATCAGTATCGTCATCATCATCATCCTCATCATCATCAGCAGCAGCATCATCAACAGCACCACCATCATCAACATCATCAGCATCATCACCATCACCAGCATCAACATCGTCATCATCAACATCATCGTCATCATCAGCACCCGTATTAGTATCATCCACCTCAGATCATCATCATCATCAGCAGCATCATCAACATCATCATCGTGACAAATAATCATTAGTACTACCATCACCATCATCACCATCATCGTCATCACCAACATCATCACCATCGTCAACATCATCAGAATGATCATCACAACCGCAACCACCATCATCATCATCATCAGCTCCCGCATCGTCATCATCGGCATCATCATTATCATGCTCATCATCATCACCATCATCACCAGCATCAGCTTAACCATCAGCATCGCCATCATCATCAACACCATCATCGTCATCATCAACATCACCATCACCATCACAATCGCCATCACCACCACCATTACCATCACCAACACCGCAACCATCATCATCATCATCATCATCATCATCGTCATCATCATCATCATCATCGTAAGCATCATCATCGTCACCATTATTCTCATCATCAGCATCATCAACATCAGCAGCAGCCGTCGCAGCATCAGCATATCAGAATCATCATCACCAGCATCAGCATCAGCATCATCATCATCATCATCAGCATCATCATCATCATCATCGGCATCGGCATCGGCATCATCATCACCATCGTCAGCATCGTTATCATCAGTATCATGCTCGCCATCATCATAAGCATCATCCTCATCACGAACAGCAGAGACACTAACCGCATCATCGTCATCAGCATCAGCATCATCGGCAGCATCATCCTCATCAGCATCATCAGCAGTACCATCACCATCATCAGAACCATCAGCACCATCATCATCATCAAATCATCATGAAAACCAATCTTCATCCTCGCCACCACCATCACCATCACGCGTAGATTTGTTGAAGGTATTCGACACGCTTGCTACCGAATTAACAGCGGAAGACGGCGCCGACGACGACGACACGACCACAACGACCCCCCCACACAACGGCGTTGGCGACCGGGCGACGGCGACAACGACGCGATGGGACACGCGGGCGACGGCCGCCGCAGCCTCGTCGCCGTCGTGGTCGTCGTGGTCGTCGTCGTCGTCGTCGTCGTCGTCTCGCGGGCCCCGCGCGGGGCCTGCTGCGCGGTCTGCGCGCCCTCCGCGGCGGCGAGCGGGGCCGCGACGGGTGCGAGCGGGCCCTCCACGGCGGCGAACGCTCCCTTGCGCAGGCGCCGTCGGGGCGCTCCCCCTCCTCGTCCTCCTCCTCCTCCTCTTCCTCCTCCTCCACGTCGTCGTCCTTGTCGTCATCCACCTCCTCCTCCTCCTCCTCCTCCTCGTCCTCCTCGTCCTCATCCCTCTCCTCCTCCTGCAACTCGTCCTCGTCCTCCTCGTCCTCCTCCTCCTCGTTCTCCTCCTCCTCCTCCCTCCTCCTCATCCCTCCTCTTCTCGTCCTCCTCTCCTCCTGCTCCTCCTCCTCTTCCTCCTCCTCCTCCTCCTCCTGCTCCTCTTACTCCTCCTACTTCTCATCGCTCCCTCCCTCCCACCCTTCCGTCCTCCTCGTCCTCCTCCTCCTCCTCGTCCTCCTCCTCCTTCTCATCCTTCCTGATCCTCCCTCCTCCTCCCCACCACCACCACCATCACACCACCATCATCATCTCATCAATCATCATCATCATCATCATCATCATCATCATCATCATCATCAGCATCAGCATCATCATCGTCATCATCCGCAGCATCATCCATATCATCATCAGCATCATTATCATCAGCAGCATCATCATCATCAGTGTCCGTCTCAATCATCTCATCATCATCAGCAGCGTCATCGACAGCACCACCATCATCAACATCACCAGCATCATCACCATCACCAGCATCAACATCGTCATCATCAGCATCATCGTCATCATCAGCAACAGTGTCAGTATCAGTATCATCATCATCATCATCAGCAGCAGCAGCATCACCAGCATCATCATCATCAGCATCATCAGCGTCACCATCATCATTAGTACTACCATCACCATCATCACCATCATCGTCATCATCAACATCATCACCATCGTCAACATCATCATAATGATCATCACAACCGCAACCACCATCATCATCAGCTCCCGCATCGTCATCGTCAGCATCATCATTATCATGCTCATCACCACCATCATCACCAGCATCAGCATGACCATCATCATCGCCATCATCATCAACACCATCATCGTCATCATCATCAACTTCACCATCACCATCACCATCGCCATCACCACCACCATTACCATCACCACCACCGCAACCATCATCATCATCATCATCATCATCATCATCATCATCATCATCATCATCATCCTCATCCTCATCAGCATCATCATCATCGTAAGCATCATCATCAGCCTCATCAACATCAGCAGCAGCAGTCCCAGCATCAGCATATCATAATCATCATCATCATCATCATCATCGTCATCATCATCAGCATCATCGTCATCATCGTCATCATCATCAGCATCATCATCAGCATTATCAGTATCCGCATCATCATCATCAGCATCAGCACCATCATCATCATTATCAGTATCGTCATCATCATCCTCATCATCAGCAGCATCATCATCAACAGCACCACCATCATCAACATCATCAGCATCATCACCATCACCAGCATCAACATCGTCATCATCAACATCATCGTCATCATCAGCACCAGTATTAGTATCATCCATCTCAGATCATCATCATCATCAGCAGCATCATCATCAACATCATCATCATCGTGACACAACTCATTAGTACTACCATCACCATCATCGCCATCATCGTCATCATCAACATCATCACCATCGTCAACATCATCAGAATCATCATCACAACCGCAACCACCATCCACATCATCATGAGCTCCCGCATCGTCATCATCGGCATCATCATTTTCATGCCCAGCATCATCACCATCATCACCAGCATCAGCTTAACCATCAGCATCGCCATCATCATCAACACCATCATCGTCATCATCATCACCATCACCATCACCATCGCCATCACCGCCACCATTACCATCACCACCACCGCAACCATCCTCATCATCATCATCATCATCATCATCATCATCATCATCGTAAGCATCATCATCATCACCATCACCATTATCATCATCATCATCAGCATCATCAACATCAGCAGCAGCCGTCGCAGCATCAGCATATGAAAATCATCATCACCAGCATCAGCATCAGCATCATCATCTCCTTCATCATCATCATCATCATCGGCATCGGCATCATCATCACCATCGTCAGCATCGTTATCATCAGTATCATGCTCGCCATCATCATAAGCATCATCCTCATCACGAACAGCAGCAAAGTCACTAACCGCATCATCATTCTCATCAGCATCAGCATCATCGGCAGCATCATTCTCATCAGCATCATCAGCAGTACCATCACCATCATCATAACCATCAGCATCACCATCATCAAATCATCATGAAAACCAATCTTCATCCTCGCCACCACCATCACCATCACGCGTAGATTTTTTCAGGTGTTCGACACGCTTGCTACCGAATTAAAAGCGGAAGACGGCGCCGACGACGACGACGACGACGACCACAACGACGACAACGGCGTTGGCGACGGCGACGGCGACGGCGACGGCGATGGCGACAGCGCGGGCGACGGCCGCCGCCGCCGTCGTCGCCGTCGTGGTCGTCGTGGTCGTCGTGGTCGTCGTCGTCGTCGTCGTCTCGCGGGCCCCGCGCGGGGCCTGCTGCGCGGTCTGTGCGCCCTCCGCGGCGGCGAGCGGGGCCGCGACGGGTGCGAGCGGGCCCTCCAAGGCGGCGGACGCTCCCTTGCGCAGGCGCCAGAGGAGCGCTCCCCCTCCTCGCCCTCCTCCTCTTCCTCCTCCTCGTCGTCGTCCTTGTCGGCATCCACCTCCTCCTCCTCCTCCTCCTCCTCGTCCTCCTCGTCCTCATCCCTCTCCTCCTCCTACACATCGCCATCGTCCTCCTCCTCCTCCTCCTCCTCCTCTTTCTCCTCATCCTCCTCCCTCCTCCTCATCCCTCCTCTTCTCGTCCTCCTCTCCTCCTGCTCCTCCTCCTCTTCCTCCTCCTCCTCCTCCGCCTCCTCCTCCTCCTCTTACTCCTCCTACTTCTCATCGCTCCCTCCCTTTCACCCTTCCGTCCTCCTCGTCCTCCTCCTCCTCCGCCTCATCCTCCTCCTACTCCTCCTCCTTCCTCAACCTTCTGATCATCCACCTCCTCCTCTCTCCTTCGCCCCACCACCACCACACCCTCACAAACCACCATCATCATCATCACCATCA